GTCAAACAGAAGCAGCACTACTTGTCCGCCGACAGACGGGACTTCGTCAAAGGGGAGGTCGCCATGCTCCTCTCAATCAAACACATCAAAGAGGTGAAGTGCGCCTTCGGCATCCAGGGCGGCAAGTTCCTCGTCTATATGGTCAGCCGGAGAGGCATCGAGATAAACTCGGAGAAGACGCAGGCTATCATCAACATGGAGCCACCCCGCAACGTCAAGGAGGTACAGCGACTGACGGGGCGCCTGGCGGCCTTAAACCGGTTCCTCTCCAGGTCAGCCGAGAGGGCACTCCCCTTCTTTCAGATCATGCGTAAAGCAAACAGCTTCAAGTGGACGACGGAGTGCCAGGAAGCAATCGACGAATTAAAAAGGTACCTGTCGTCCCCACCCGTGCTCTCCAAGCCCAAAGCCGGCGAAACCCTCTTCTTGTACTTAGGGGTGAGCACGTCGGCCATCAGCCCCATGCTCATCCGTGAGGACGAAGGGGTGCAGAAGGCCATCTTCTACATCAGCAAGACACTCAGGGAGGCCGAGCTCAGGTACTCCCCCATTGAGAAGACGGTGTTGGTCGTCGTCCACACGGTGAAGAAGCTGGGACACTACTTCCAGGCCCACGCCGTCCATGTACTGACCCAGCAGCCTCTCGGCGCACTCATGAGGAGCCCCACCAGCTCCTCTAGGATGGTGAAATGGGCAATTTTCCTCAGCCAATTTCAAATTGAGATCAAGCCGAGGCCATCCATCAAAGGGCAAGCCTTGGCCGACTTCGTCATCGAATGCACAGCAAGAGAGACGGCCGTCGCCAACCCCGGGCCGGAGCAGGACGATACATGGACCCTGTTCACCGACGGCTCGTCGGCCGCGAAATCATGCGGCGGCGGCGACGTCCTCATATCCCCTGAAGGATTCAGAGCTTACTACGCCATCCGCTTCAACTTCAGGGTGTCCAACAACGAAGCCGAGTATGAGGCCCTCCTCAGCGGTCTCAGACTCGCAGCCGGCCTCAAAGCCAAACACCTCAAAATCAAGTGCGACTCCAAACTGGTAGTGGGCCAGGTGGAGGGATCGTACGAAGCAAAGGAAGGCCGGATGAAGCAGTACAAACAAGCGGCGGAGGAGTTGCTGAAAGCATTTGAGACCCACGAGATCACTCAGATCCCAAGGGCCAAGAACGCCGAAGCCGACATCCTCTCCAAACTCAGCTCGGACACCCCGGAGCACATCTCCCAGTTGGCCAAGATCGAGGAGTTGAGCATGTCCAGCATCCATGTCAGCCCCGTCTTGTGCGTCCAGCAGCGAACAGAGGACTGGATCTCCGACATCGCCACCTTCATCGCAACGGGGGAGCTGCCCCTGGACGAGGAGAGAGCCAAACTTGCCAAACTCAGGGCCCCAAGCTACACCGTCGAAGATGGCAAACTCTACAAACGATCCTACAATGGCACTCTCCTTCGATGCCTCCACCAGGATGAGGCCGACATAGCCATGGAAGAAGTTCACTGTGGCGTCTGTTCCTCACATCAGGGCCCTTTCAGCATGTCCCGGCGTCTCGTCGTCCAGGGCTTCTTCTGGCCGACGATGGCACGCGACTGCGCTGACCTGGCCAGGAAGTGCACCACATGCCAGGTACTCCAGAAGGCCCCTGGTCGGCCAGCTGTCAACTACGCCCCCGTCAGCACCGCAATTCCATTCTCCAGATGGGGGATTGACCTGGTCGGCCCCCTGCCCAGAGCCGCCGGGAATAACCGCTACATCATCGTCGCCGTCGACTACTTCACCAAGTGGGTCAAGGCGGAGCCCTTGGCTAGCATCACGGGGGCCAGATGCCAAAAATTTGTTTACAAGAACATCATCACACGCTTTGGCGTCCCCCAGGAGATTATATCAGACAACGGCACCCAATTCGAGGCAGCCCCTTTCCAAGAACTCCTCCGGGAGTTTGGGGGTAAAGCATCGTTTCTCCTCCGTTGCCTACCCTCAGGGCAACGGGCAGGTCGAGAACGCCAACAGAACAATTATGGAGGGGCTGAAGAAGAAGCTCCAGGCCGCAGGAGGTAGTTGGGTCGACGAGCTCCCCAACATCCTGTGGTGCTACAGAACCACGCCGAGGAGGGCGACAGGTGAAACGCCTTTCGCCCTGTGCTACGGCTTTGAAGCAAAAGCGCCCACGGAAGTTACCATCCCCAGCCGACGGGTGGAACAGTATGAGCCTGACGCCAACGAAGAGAACATGAAGATTGACCAACACCTGGTTGATGAGAGGCGTGAGCAAGCTTACGTCCGGGCGGAGAACTACCGGCGTCAAGTAAAATCATACTATGACGCCAAGGTACGTTACCGGGAATTTCAGGTGGGGGACTACGTCCTCCGCCGAAGGGAAGCAAGCCAGGCGACAGAGGGTGGCAAGCTAGCATTGAAGTATGAGGGGCCCTGCATCGTCAGTGACGTGGTCAAACCCGGCACCTACAAGCTTAAACGCCCGAATGGGTCCAATGTACCACGAACGTGGAATGTACACCATCTGGTGAAGTTTTATCAGTAATCCGAAGGAGGTGCAGACGGCGAAGCCCTCACCCCCTAACGGGTTACTGATTGAACGCCACCTTCGGCCTCGAGCCACTTATGAATAAAATCATATTCTGATTTTTTCTCTGGAATTTAAAGTAAAACATTAGCAGGTGCCCCCGTCGGCCACCTCAGAGCGAAAGGCTCAGGCATGGCCGACATGGCCCCTTGCATTTGCAGCCTACGAGCGACAAGCTCAGGCACTCCATTGTATTTTTGTATCAGCGAAGGGCTCAGGCCTAGCTGAGAGAGCACATCGTCCTGGCCCCGTAAGCCTAGAAGTGAAACGCTCAGGTATGGCCGACGATGTCCCCAGGACGAGGGGCCCGCAAACGGCCCACGTCTTGAAACGGGAAGCTCACCACGTCGTCCACGCGCCAGATCGCAGGACGACAGGCCTGAAATCATGGCCGAGGTGACAAAATCACAAAACTCAGGGATGGGCAACGACAGCCATTGGAAACCGACCAAAAGTCTAGCCCGCGTCATAAATAGGCGACGGGACCCGCCCTGAGATCACGGACGTTATAAACGAAGTCCGAACCGGCCGAAGGACGAGCACACCCTTCGGCCGAAGCCTGAAAGAAGGATACTCCACGGAATATATATATATATATATATATATATATATACACACACACACACAAGGGAAAAAGAGGGAAGCCGACGACCGTGCACACTTGCCGGCCTCGAGCAATGAAAAATAAAATCCCCACAATTCAGGCCCAGTTTGGCCAAGTACATATCAGTTGAACACAAGTGTAGCACCACTGACAGATATCATGGACGACACGTCCACGCACTACAAGGGAATGATCAAGGCCGAAACACACGCCTATAAAACCCTAACCGCATCGGTTGGGTGACACACGAGAGGTGACCTTCATCGGCCACAGTCCTTTGAAGCACCAACGCGTGGTATGAAACAAAGAATCACAATCCTGAGGATGACCAGGACGAAGCGGGCACTTATCACACCCGCGGAAGAATCAAGCAATCAAGAAACAACCTCTACTTGCCACAGCATCTCGGATGGCCGCTGCAGGCACTGGAACCAAGGCTGTTGGTCAAGCGAAAGTTATTTGGGAATTTGTTCATGTGTTTGCCAAACACTTAGAAAAAATCCTGAGAAAAAAGAGGGTTCCTCAACAAGGAACCATGGCTAGCTGACGAAGGTAGGACCATCCCCTTGGTAAAACCATTCCTTATCTGGCACCCTCATCGGCCACAAGCCAGACCTTGGCCGGCAGCGGTACCACAAAGAAGTAAATGCCTTACATTTATACTTAGAAAAATTCTCTAAGTACTCAAATGAAGGAACTCTAGCCGAAGCGGGTACCTGTATACTCCAAGGCCGTTAGCTACCTACACCTCTGCATGTGTACTTAGAAAAATTCTAAGTTCAAAAGATCAAGGTGAAGGTGCCCTTATCGGTCACAACACAAGGATGCAGGCCGACAATGACACTGGCTCAAACACTTGGGAAATCTCCCAGAGCATTTGTCAAGAATGATAAATCCAAGGCCAGGACGATGAGAACGCTCAGCCACTTGAAGTTAGACACTTAGAAAAATTCTAACAAAAAAGAAGAAATCCAACGCCAGGACGGAGCGGACACCACGGTCAAGGCCGAAGGGAAAGCACCTAAATGAACCCAAAACACTTGGGAAATTTTTGAATAAATCCTAAGTGTTATGATACTACATCAACACCGAACAGGCCGACAAAGCCACCAGGCCGGAAAGAAGGCACTTAAGTGGATCCAAAACACTTAGGAAATTTTTGAAAAAATCCTAAGTGTTATGATAGTAGAGAAACGACGGCCAGGCCGATCAAGCCACCAGGCCGGAAAGACAGCAACTACGTGGACCCAAAACACTTAGGAAATTTTTGAAAAAATTCCTAAGTGTTCTGATAGTAAAGCAAAGATGAATAGGCCGACCAGGCCTCCGGACAGGGAGGCCGACCTCACGGACGTAGCGGACACTCGCGGGTGACCCAAGTTATGACCTTGACATTTAGACAAATTTTAGAATTGAAATGACAAATGGCAAACAAGCATACAAGGAATTCAAAGCCGATCAGGACAGCAAAAAATTTCATTTATATTCAGTTCAGTACAAAGGTGGGCTCTTCGGCCGTTACATCATTTGGGCAAAAATAAAAACTAATTACAAGGGAGTAGCCGATCAAGCCTCATGAGCGCCTCCATCCTCGGCTGGCTCTTCAACGTTTTCAGCTCCCTCTTCGGCCTCAGCCTCCTGGTCGCCGGCAGCCGCAGCACTAGTGGCATCATCGAGGAAATCAAACTCCGTGTAATCCGGCTCGCCGAGGCCAGAACTCTCAATGGGGGACTCGCGCTCCGACAGCGGAAGCTTGGCCTGCTCTTCAGGATCCTTCATCAGCTTTGGAAGCTTCAGGTTTCGTCTAGCCCACCCAGACGTGTAATTCATGGCCTTCAAAGCACGAGATAGCCGCCGACACAGGAGCCTTTGCATCCGCTCCTGGCCCATGTTATAATACACGGCCATCTCTCTGCTGAAATACTCCTGGCCGGCGGGGGAGTTCATCCCCCAACTCTCAAGCCTGGCGGCCACCACCTCGTAGCACCAGGGAAGCCTCTCATCGGCCTTCCAACCCTCGGCCAGGAACTTCTCAACGGCCTCATCGGCAGCCCTCACAGCGGCGGCCTCGGCCTCAACTTTCGCCTTCACGGCTTCTTCATTCTTGCGCCGCTCGGCCTCAAGCTCCCTTTTGCTCTCCTCGAGCTTGGCCAGGGCATCGTCCCTGGCTGCAGCGGCTTCATCGGCCCTTTGCTGCAAAGCCTTGGCATCCTCCCGGAGTCGATCCAGGCAAGCTACCGCCTCGTCGGCCGAGGCAGCCTTCTGCTCCAGCTCCTTCAAACGAGCTATCTCCCGGTACTGCCTTTTATGGCTCTCCATGAGCATAAAGGCACTCTGCAGAAAAAAGGAAAACAAAACTCAGGCAAACGACTCTACATGGACGACGAGAAAAAACGACACATACGAAGGAAAGTAACTTACTTGGACGAGGAGGTCCATACCGCCCTCGTAAATCTTCACGTCCCCGAGCTTCTTCAGGTAAGCCCGATCTTTGGCCGGCATGGTCTGGGCCAGCACGTCGTGGCCAAGGACGACATCATCAAATACACCCCCGCCGACGGGATATTCTACCATCTTCTGGTAGGTGGCACCGGCAATCTCCTTGCCGGCCCTCTTCGTCCGTGGCTCCTGGACGAGAGGGAGCGATTGGGCAGCATCGCCAGCAGCAGTGAGGTCCACAACAGGACCGCTATCAACCACACTGGGAACGGCAAGGGTGCCGGCCTCAGTAGCCTGGGAAGGAGACGGCGCCCTCTTCGTCTTCTTGGAGACGTTTAGGCCGGCTTCAGTTAATTTTTTCTGGCCGTCAGTGGCCGGCCTCTTCTTCGATTGGGCAGGCTTTGGGGCCGCACCAGCAGTAGCCCCGCTCCCCTCGGCCGCGGCACGTCTGGCCACCTCGGCCGCCTTAGCAGCCAACTCCTCGGCCGCTTTGGCCTTTGCTATAGCCATGATAGAGCGACGGTCCATGACGAAATCTACAAAGGAAAAACACAAAAGGATTAGCAAGACAAAAGAACAAAGTACAAAGACAGAAAGCCGAAAAAATAGTTACCATCGACCTCAGCAGGAATGCCCAAGTCCGGGCCGTCGGCCTCTTCAAAGGTGGTGGTCATCCTCGGCCAGAGTTGGATGTCATCCTCCTTATCCCCATACACATGGTATCTAAAGAAGCCGAGGGCGGTCATCTTGTATTCAGTAATGTAATCCTTCACGCTCCTCGGCCCCCCTTCCAGGAAAGCCTCCACCTGAGCGTCCAAGATAGAGCTCTTCGGCGGGTCATGGAGATTGAACCTCCCGGTATGGCCGAGGGAGGGAAACTCGGTGCCACTCTCACCCAGGGATACAAAAACGAACTTGCTCTTCCACCCATGAATGGACGAAGGCAAGTCCGTGAAGCTCCTCTTCTTCGGCAGCTGTTGAAGAGTAGCATAGGCCGCACAGTTCTTGTGGCTTCCTCGGCCGATCTGGTACAAATTCATGAATAGGGCCGTGGTCGGCCTGTAGCCCAGCTCCTCACACCGGAGCAAAAACCCCACCATCAAGGAATAGCTGTTCGGCGTCAGCAAGACCGGAGGAAGCCCCACCATGTCCAGGTATTCAGTGATGAAAGGGTGAAGGGGGAACCTCAACCCCTTAGCAAAACTCATCAGGTATACTCCAAAGTATCCCGGTGGCGGAAGAAGAACATGGTCCGTCGGCCTGGGTGCCCTAACCCGCCCGAACGGCCCCACGTACATCTGGGCAACAAGATAGTCGGTCGCGCGATGGGTCGTTCCTCCTCCATCAACTGGCGGCAATGCAGGCCCAAAGTAACTTTGGGCAGTTTTTGTACGTCCCTATCCTCCTGCCACTCCGGCCGAGGGCCATCCAACGGCGACCATGGATGAAGCTCGCTTCTTCTTCTTCAGAAACAACACTGGGCGGGGTCCAGCTTGCGGCAACAAGTGCTGAAGGCGTCAGAGTAGAGGTCTCACGACAGGGAACTACAGAGATTCTGATAGGTTATCCTTGGGCCTTAGCGGCGACGGATTTTGGTGTGGTGCAGCCGTGTAGACAGGCGGCTGGTGTTGTCTTGTCTCCGTCGGTACTGAGCAGACTTGAGCTTTGGATGCTCTCCCTTTTCTGTCAAGCACGAGAATTGAGGCCAACTTTATTAACCGGTCCACTTGTGCCATGCTCCAGTGGATTTAGAATCCAGCCAGCCACATTTTTGATAGTGTGCAGTGCCGTCTCCAAGTGAAGCTAAGTACTCCAAAATTATCTCGAGAGACGAGTCATCCGTTAAAAGATCCCCAAAAGCGCGCATCTGACGGATTCAAGCTACGAACTTGAGTGATGAGTTGAGCTAGATTATTAATTTATTATCATTATTTTTTAAATAGTGTGTATTTTTTTACATTGAAAAAATGGACTTATGGATTCCGAACACTCGCGTACACCGGGAGAGTGCTAAAATCTTTCACCACCAGGTCACGTGAAACGAGTGTAGCGATAGTAAGCTCTCAATCCAAATGTTATCTAACACATACTCTAGTTTCTATGTTTTGTATGAGTTATGTGTGCCCTCTAACTATTGGATTTGAAATGCAATCCTCCAACGGTAGGTTCAGTCCTTTATGTGTGCCACGCTCCAACTAAGTGTTGGTCCCGGTTGTACTGGGTGCAGTCTAGAGGGGGGTGAATAGACTGTACTGGTTTTTAACTTTTTCAAGTTAAGTACCAGATTTAACAGAATAGCATGTTCTGTTGGCAGAACAGACTGGCAGCGGATGGTCTTCTTGTAGGGGTTCTGTCCGGTTAGCCTCTAAGATAAGCAAAGACAATAGGCCTTCTGTTAACTCACAGAAAGGGTTATGGTGAACACAGAGACCAAGTTTCTGGAATTAATCAGTTTAAAGTAAATGGAAGAATTAAAAGCAGTAAGTAAATGACACCAGGGATTTTTATAGTGGTTCAAGAAACAACTTGTTCCTCTAATCCACTGCTCCACTAAGCTTGTAAAAGATCCAATTACAAAGCCTTAGCCCTACCACTTAAGAAGCTCTCCATGTCTTCTTCAAGTCTAGATGTCTCCTGGGATGCACTTCCTTGCTTCCTTTAAGACTGGTCCTTTCACTGAGCTTCCTTGAAGTATCACCACTTAACTACTCCATTTTAATCTCAGGAAGGCTTGTGCGTTTGAATGTTTGAATATCTTGTTTGAGCAAGTGTTGAGCAGAAGTCTAACAAAGTTATTCGGTTGTTCTTCGAGTAGTATCTCTTATACTGAGGTTGTCTTCCCGTTGGAGGAGGAGGACAACTGCATTAAATGCGCGAACAGTTGACTTGACCAGTAGGACCCAGTAAAGTTGGCGAGTTGCTATTTTGGGATAAAGCTATCCTGAAATGTCGGCCAATCATCAGCTTTTACTCTTCAGGGTACAGGGTGCATTAAATGTGCATTTAATGCGCGTACTGTAGCTTTTTCGTTGAAGCCTTCTAGTCGTTGAAGGAATCTTCCGTTGGTTTCACTGGCTAAAGTAGTTTCATGAAAATTCTCTAAGTGTCAGGCCTTCTGGTATCTTCCAGGGGATCAACCAGAGAAGGTCTCGAGCACTTCTGTTGGAATAAGCTACCAGATAGTTTTTAAGTCTTCTGTCAAAAAGCGAGCCAACAGAGGGTCTTGACAGATTCTGTTGAAGTGAAGTCCAACAGAGAACCAGAGGGTCTTCTGTCTGGATATGAACCAACAGAGAATCAAAGGTCTTCTGTTCAGACTAAGTCTATCAGAGGGTCTTCTGTCAGGAGTTCTTCTGTCAATCGACTATTTTAAGAAACTTTACAAAGAAAATTTCTAATACAAATTTCTAAAGAGGGGTACTCTAAAGTCCTAATAAATATAACATCATCAAAATCTAATTATAAGTATTCCTTACACTAAGCATAGAAACCTAGCTTGAGCTCCAGCTAAAAAATTTGAGGCCACTTAATTTAGGTCCAATAGCAATTTATAAGCTCAAGAAATTATAGCAATTTTATTTGAATGCATAGGTGCGACTAAATGATGACATCATACCGACTCCTTATTCGTCTCTCCTGGTCATCTTTATTTGATGGCGTGGACATCATATTATGGATAGTCACTCGACCTATCTCTTAGTCATCTTTATTTGATGACTGGGGCTACTTATCACGCCGAGCTACTCACATCTAGAGACAGTTCTCAGCCATCCCCTCCGAAGACGGACATCGCTACAGCTCCATGCCTAGGCCGAAGGGCTCACCCCTTTTGCTTCATTTTGGGGGCATCCAGTGTACTCTTTTTCCCTCATTAGGATTTTTTCCCACTAAGTTTTTCCTAATGAGGTTTTTAACGAGGCATTTCCCCATTGTGGATCAAAAGGCGTCGACCCTCGGCCTCCTATCGAAGACATGCATTGTTCTACTCCTTTTCACCTCATTACACGTGCCTCAAGGAGTGGGGGACTGGAAGAACGGGGGACTTAGCGCCTCCATTAATAGAAGAAACACAAATTCAAAATTTTTTACGAAGTTTACTCACCAGACGATGACAAATCAACACACAGCTCTACTCCCTTTCGCCTCGAATACTTTCGCCTCAGGGAGTGGGGGACTCCTGATAGAGTATATGGACTCAGACCCCCGCTCTTTTGACTATTGGGCCCGGACAGCGGCACGCGTACGCTCAATAGATAGCATTGACATTATTGTACATTATCATTATTCGGGTGTTCTAGATTAGCCTTTTATGTAACCGGGTCTGTCAGGCCCATATTAAAAGCCCAGACCCGGATTTCTCTATATAACTCCTCTTGGAGCCTCTTGTAACCCTAGAACATAATTACTCATTCACTCTACTATTCATTCATCTTCTCCTCCACATCTATTAGCTCAAATCTCTCCTAATTATATATGTTTGGATCCCTATAATCCTTCAGGAGTATTATACTAATAAACTACGAAGTATTTGTAAAAGATTCAAAACATATAACATTATTATTTATAATTTCAATATATAAATATTATTTTCACATATTGTCCCTTCAATGCTAAACACATTTTGAATTTATTAAAACCTATATGCTTTGGCTCTTTTCTCCATATTCTTGTAAGAATTATTAAATTTTGAGTTAGGGTAATTTTTACCATATAAATTTGATGTAATATATATTTAGCTATATTTTATGTTTATTTTTTCACTAAATATTGACTGTTTTTCTACTCAAATAGACAATGTCATTTTTATTACTTATTGTACCTATACATTCAAATTTGTATATTTGAAATAATTATTGTGTACATTTTAAACCGTTGAAGAATGTGTTGCATATGTTGAATTGTTATTCATTTCTGATCTATCATTAAATTAGTATACAAGACACATATTATATGCAGTAATTTTTAAATTGTGAAACGTTTAAAACACATCATATCTCTATTCATTCCATGGACGTGTGAAACATATATTTAGCCA